TGATTCACTTAAAGACCTTTTTTTGTGTTTGTGGTGTTTTTTAAAATTCTCTCAGATCACGCCTCGCCCGCTGGAGTCAGCGCCAAGCCGCCGAAGGCGTCAAACCTCAGACGATGTGCACGTGTCGCGGTGCTGGAGGTGACAGCGGAGGCGAGTCCTGCAAACACAGAGGTGAGATTTCCCACCACGTCAGCTCTGAGCAGACCCGATCACGGTCAAATAACGATGTGATGTTGATGTGTAACACGAGGAGGGGCTTCCTTTTTAATTTTCAGAAACGTTTTTGCCTCGTAGCGTCGTTTTTTAATCAAATTAGAATTAAAATCTCAGCAGTAAGCTCAGTGAAGCTTTCTGTTTCCCTCTGAATGATTTGAAAACAAACGGCTGAACTAACGTCAGCTCCACGTTTGATCAGCTGCACTAAAGTTTTCCTCTAAAATAAATCATCCAAAAAATAATGAAAAGGTCTAAAGTGTAATAAAGTTTGCACAGATTTTGATTGAGTTTGGATATTTAGAGAAAAAACTTTTTCCATGAATGCGAAAAGTCGCTAAAAAGCTTTCAGCGTAATCAGGCCACACTTAGCAGGTCTCCCTGAATCAGAGGAAGCAGACCGAGGAAACAAAGTGTCCCTGAGACATCAAAGACAAAACAGCAGGAAGAACATCTCCGGACAAAAGGCCGGTTTTCTGCGCAGCGTTGACTTTTTTCCTCTACACAGCAGAAGATGTGTCCCTGTCACAAACATTTACTACAGCTCTGCTTTCTCTAACTGTCAGGACGGTTCGACAGCAGCTGCAGAGGAGACAAGCGAACAGGATGTTGTTCTGATAAAACAGGAAACACCAAAAGAGGAAGCTGAATCTGACCTCGCCACAACAGACGAGCTGCTCATCAGTGAGGACGGTGAGCAAACCAGCAAAATGTATTTGATTCCAGGTGGAGGCTCAGAGACACTGTGTGGATGTTAAGTGTGTCTATTGATTTAGTTTAATTGCATTATTATTTAAGAGTAACAATCACAGAGTTCCTTCTTTAAAAATGCTAAAACTCACGTGTTAAATCTTTACAGTAAAAAAAAACAATCAATAAGTGAATATTTTAAACTAGCAGCAAAGTTCCACCAAATAAAAGCAGCAGAAACAAAATCAGATCAAACCAACTGCAGTCCAGTCAGTTTAAACTTTCAAAATAAGAGCGAGGGGCCAGGCCAGCAGTAAATGGATGGGCTTTTTTTCCTCTGATGAATGAAAAATAAAATTGTAATTATTTTTTTATTTGTTTTTCAAGACTTTATTTATGTATTTATTTTACCTCAAGGATAAAATCGACTTTATTTATCCTAAAGTTGGGGAATTCCTGTTTTACAGCTGAAAGAAATTAAACATAAGTAGATTAAATAAATTCTAAATTTAAAAATGATCAGAAAATGAAATAAATTAGATAATTAGTAATTTAAATATGAGTATTAAGTAACAGCCACAGACTGTATATGCCAGGGGTCAGCAACCTTTAACACTCAAAGAGCCATTTGGAGCCGGTTTCCACCCAAACAAAAACTCTGGGAGCTGCAAATACTTTATGACATCTAAAATGAAGATAACACTGTATATACTGTTTTTTACCTTTATGCTTTGTGTGAACAACTAAGGTGTGTTGCTTATGAAATCCATGAAGTGCTACAGAGAAAAATACATTTTATTGATGTAATTAACACATTTTGAACTCTTAAAGAAACATAACAAAAGCAAAGCTGAACTAAAACGATCCAGCAAACAAAAACTGTTGTGAGCTGCCCTCATACCTTGACCTGACTTTTAAAAAATAATTGGAAAAAAAAATACTATGTTGCTAAAAAAAGTAAAATAGATATTTGCAAAATTCAGCTTAAATATGTATTTTACCTGGTTAATGTGTGTGGCGGGGCGTGGTCTGCAGCGCCGCTGCAGGGGAGGCGGACATTCCTGAGATTCCTGACCTGCTCCGTTTGAACTTCAGCTTTCCTCTGTGTGTCTGCAGGGACCGAGGTGCCGACGTCAGACACGGAGGACAGCGAGGAGGGCGCGCCTCGGTTGAGGATCTCAAACACAACCTGCGCCGACCTTCGGCCGTGGGACCAGAATAATAACGCAGTCTCAGAGCAACTCGCGCATCACGAGTCCCGCAGCACGCCCGGTTCCCCGCGGCCCGCAGGGGGCG